CAATTCGTACAAATCTAAACTTATTCTAAAATTTGATGCTATTTCCTACATTTTTTTTATTCAAAAAAAAAAAAAAAAAAAAATAAATAAATAAATAAAAAATAAAAAAAAATGTAAAAATTATGGCGTTGGACATTGTTGAATTTTTTTATCTCACCCTGAAGGCTTTGCAAGATAAACTTTCAAAACGTCGATACAAGCACGATACTCTTTAAACTATTGAAATGTCCGCTTCCTGTTAGAATTATTAAAAATTAGATGCAACAAGTTGTTTTCATTTATTTGATATAATTCCTAATTTTTAATAAGGAGTTAAATATCTCAGTACCTAGACAAAACCATTTTATATCTTTAATGCACGCCTTTATGTTTCCTTAAATCATTGATTTTGAAAACTTTTTTAGTTTTTCTTCAAGACAAAAAATATCATGGATACAAACGTCTTCTATTTTTAGCTCAACTTTCATAATCTATATAGTTTTTTTCGTAATTATTCTTCAAGTTGCACAGTGTTATATAAATAGATGAAATCTTTTAGAGCTTAACTGAAATACAAGTAGCTAGATTGACATTTTTATTTGCCGTAAAAATGTTTTTCACATGCTTGGCAACCCTAACATTTAATAATGATTATTAAAGATTTTACTGAACGTTTGAATTGCATAATGAGCTATTAAATATTGATTAACAAAACACTTGCGGACATATTTTCCCTTTTTTTGACGGCACCACAATCAACCGTGAAACTTTCAATAAAGAATGACTCAGAGTAGAAATCGACATTTGAGTAGAGAAAGAGATATTCACGTGCAATCACTCAATGTGGACGCTCATAAAAAGCAAACGAACACAAACACACATATACATTTTGTCCAACAAACAACAGGTGGAAAAATAAACAAAAATGATGGGGGTTACCTTTTCACGTGAATGTTGGGGATGTTGAGGAGGCGGGAGAGTGTGAGAGAACAACCAAGAAAAAACAACCAGTGTTGACTGACAATCGAAAAGCTTGTCATCGAAGTGGAGAAATATTAGTAAATAATTAATGGTAACGAGAATTGTCAATACTCCCCTTTCCCTCTGCTACCCAAAAAAACAAACTCCCTCCCACACATATCAAATAGATGAAACATGTTTTTTCTTAATTGCTTTTCAAACAATGCCTTTCGTTCAGTTTTACTACGTTTTTATCTGAAAATTACTAAACTAACTTCAAGTGAGTATAACGTTGGAATGCGTCATATGGAATTCTGAATTAACCCATCGTAAAATGGTTACTGAAGTCAGAGAAGCTCCACTTTATGAGATACAAAAACAATAAAGTTCTCTCGCACAAAAATGTTTATCCAAGCAACTGGTTTTATGCCAAACACGAACTGAAAACATTTTTTGGCGATGCGTAAATAAATGAATTGTGAAACCGGTTTCATTGTTTGTTTACGCCAATTAACCACGGAGGCAGACGGACAGACAATTCACATGATAATGAAACGATTTTTTAGATAAAAAATCATTGTGTATATAAAGTGTTGTAATTGCTGTAAAGGTTAGAACATTTTTTTTATTAAACTAAAGTAAGCAGCTACCTATCTACGACAGCAAGAGAATAGAAATAGTTTGTTGCCATAACAACATTGAATGTGAAGGACTTACTAATGGCCAGGGTTGCCACTTTTCTAGGATTAAAAATGAAAACGTCACACAAATTGATTCTGGGTATTTGTCAAGAATGCAGACTTTTTACAGCCTCCACCATGTAATGGAAGGTATACTAAGATTATCATCATGCATGGCAAAACAATAAAGATAGGTCAGTGTTAGTGTGTAGGGGTGAAAGAAGAGTACAAAATGACACTAAATTTGATATGAGTGTAGGAATGAGCAAAACTTATGAGTTTTCCTATTTGGGTAACGACGAGTCAGAAGAGTCAGGGTCAGTTTTTGCAAATGCCTGTTATATGGTGTACTAACTGAAACCGGTGCGCTTCGATACCTCTTTATACCCTACAACACTATGCGTTGGGGATATTATAAGTTTGATTGGGCCAGAATTTATGTAACACCTCGAAATATTGGTTTCCCATATAGGAAAGTATATATGGATCTTCCTAGCTCGCCGAGCTGAGTCGATCTAGCTATGTATGTCCGTCCGTCCGTCTGTCCATGTTAATTTGTAATAATGCTACAGGTAGCAATTATGGCCCGATCCGAAATTTTGCACGAAGGTTGGGTTAGGGTCAGAATAGAAGCCTATTTCTTTTGGAGATGATCGCTAAATGTTTAGGGGTTGAAATGGACCAAATACTGAAAAAATGTCGGATTTTGCAGTAGCTATACAGGTCGGAATTTCGCATGTAGCTAGAGTTAAGGGCGGGGAAGAAGCCTACCAATTTGGGTGGTCATCGGATAATATTTAGCGGGTAAAATAGACCATATATTTTGTGTGGAAACAATTCAAAATTTTTCATTAAACCGCGAATATTTTAAATCCCGGCAAAATCACAAAGCCATGACAAGGTTACTTCTGACCTTTACATTGATGTTAACATTCAACAAATCGGATATATAGCAAAATATGTGCGATATATATGTCTATCAAAGAAGATATGCTTGAAAGATCTCTTATATGTCGAGAACGGCTGAACTGATTTCGACAGTTCTCATTAATTCAGAATGGCCTCTTGGCAGGAAAGAAAAAACGTCTAAAAAATCGCATAAAAATATCTCTCTAAAGATGAAAATATTGATTTTGTAAAATTTTCTCATATTTTTTTCAATTTTGTCATATTTATGGCATATTTTAATTTTGAATTAAACATTTGGTAATATTTCTACAGCTAACAAAACTAAGTAGTTAGGATATCAGGATATCATATACAGATCGCATTTTTGGTCCGATCCTTACGAAATTTTGCATGGAGATAAGATGAGGGTCAGAATAAAAGCCTATTCTTTTTGGAGATGATCGCCATATATTTAGGGGTTGAAATGGACCAAAAAACTGCAAAATTGTCAGCAGGTCGTAATTATGGGGGTTACCGGACATTGCAAAAGCCAAGCAGTCTTGGATGGCCATCCAAAAATGTTCAATGTGTGAAGGAGTTTCCAACTTTTATAGACAAAATACGAAAATGTCCATTCCAGTGACTTTTTGGAGAATTCACAAACACAGGAAAGACACACTTCTGACTATTTCGCTGATTTCGTTGAAGAATATAGTCAAATGTCTGTATCTCATATAGATGCGTTTCAGTCAAAAACCAATAATAAATGTTAATCTCCTGCCACTTCTGACAGACAGTCGAAAATTAGAGAACGAAACCTGATGGTTTTCTTTTATTATTTGTCACAATATCTTGTGGAATTCTTTCGAGTATCTCGCCTATATAAACTGTATCGTTTATTATAGTGTTGTGGGGTATTCAACGGTCGGCCCCGCTCGACTGTAGCCTTTGCTTACTTGTTTTTGTCATACCGTTGTTGTATTTCTATGTATGAGTGATTTTCTGTACAAGATGATTCCCCTCCCCTCTTCTATAGTACATAGCAACATCAAAACACGTTTGCTTGTACACGCACACACAAAAAAACAGAAAACAAAATATTTGTCCACTTATTTTCATTTAAATCTTCTCAAACTCTAATTTTTTAAACAGAAGTGGGTCGGGAGTACCTCCACACAAAACAAAAGACTGAAGAGTGGACTACGTAAAAACTACCACTCTTCGAGCAATACTGCTCGCGACCAAGTTACACTTGCGAGTGAAACTGAGTAAATCTGTCCTCTGGTTATGCCATTGCTATGTTTTCTTACGATTTGGGTTTATTTCTTGATTAAAAGAACGGTACATAATCCCCACGGATATAATCCCCATTGCAATTATGGAGATTACGATCTTTTTTCGGTTTTATTGCCCATAATAAGGTGGGGACTACTCACAAAAAATGTCAAATGATGGCAGTATCTAGGAACTTGGGTTCGCGTTAGCTGGTGCGGAACAAACCTAGAGGAGAATATCTCAAGCCCCGGCCAAAGGAATGGTTCTTGCAAATTAAAACACATTTAATTTTAAAATTTACTTGGAAAAAGTTTAAAATTCAGAAAACTATGGTTTGCGTTAGCCCGCACACACGAGTTTATGTCCGCATACGTTTTGGATATCAGACTATGATGAGGATTATGTCCGCGATTTTCTGGGGATTATGACCGATTTTTTTCTTGCGAAAAAAGGTCATAGTACCCATAATTGTAATGGGGAATTTGTCCGTGGAGATTATGACACGGCACATAAAAGAATAAGATGATTCCGTTACAGAATTTGGCATCTGTAGAACCATCTGTGTAAATAGCCAGAAGAACAAGAGGGGGTTCAGCACCAACCCAAGCTATCATGTATTGTTCCGTATAAGTTATTGTAGTCGAAAAAGATGGACATGTAACTTATCTTATCGTACCGAGATATTTGGCGCCCAATGTAAGATACAGCGTCACACCGTCTACTATATAACTCATTAACTTTGTGTTTTCTTCTGAATAGTTTTACTTCAGCCTTATCAGAGTTTACTCTTATACCATTGTCATGTCCCCAAACAGTTGATGAATAATTCACAGCATTTCATTCAACCATGGCAACCCTTTTCACAGAACAACACAATAGAGCACCCCGCTCACTATTGAGTAACTGAGTAGAGCAGTAAATAATGTATGTTGCTATAGTTTGTTGTCTTTGTTGTGTTATTGCCACTAATAAATCCTCGGTACTTATGCGCGACAACCATGCAAATTGAACAGGCCTCTGGTGGCCCATGGGCTGATGAGGCGACACCAAACAAGCACACATCCATGCGTACCTACATTCGTTTGAGTTTTTTATTTATAATTGACATAATTTTGTCATTTGTTTGAGATTTGTTTCTGTCGCTTTGTTCGCCTCGACGCCATGCATGCCAATGTATGAATGTATGTTGGAAATCGGAGTAGGTTAATTGACACTTACCACAAATTAAAATCAGAACATCTAATCCGATCCGGCATAGAATCCTTTTGTTTGTGGTATCCATTTTGTTGAGGTAGTTGACGTTTGGAGTTGGAGTAAAGGGACTGTGGTTGGCGTCCAACGGTGAACGATGGCGAAGTTGGTCCGATGCGGCTGTTAAATGAACTTCAATATTGTGATTTGTATTGTTGTTGCTACTGTTGCCGTGATGCGCCACGGCAATCGTATTGAAACGGGCGTTCGATTTGACACCGTTGTGGGACGTGGAAGCGACCGGTAAACCGTTACGCGACGTTAATAGCTTGGTTGTGACACTTGCCGTCAATGAATTTTCATCCACGGGTAAATGGCGATAGCTTTCTTCTTCCGGCCGTCGAAGCGGTGTTGTTTCACTCGCAGACGAATCGTTACTCATTTGTAAGCAGTTTTTTGTTGTTGATGGTGTCCGGTGAGAGATAGGGAGAGTGAGAGAAACACGTACAACGTGTTTGCAATGCAAAAATAAATAAATAGCCAAGTAAAGCACCTCTGCTCTGTACGTGTTGGGGAGCTCTGCCGTCAACAGTGAGAATAAGAGTGAGCTCCAATTTAGAGAGCGAGTGAACAATAACAGTTGTTTTTGTTATGTGAGGAGAATCACAAAAACAATGAAATACCAAAACCGAAAAAGCTTTGCTGGTTTTGTTTTGTTGACTTTGAACTTGATGACGCTGCTGGCTGGTTCAAAAGAGAGTGTCGCTGTTCTCTTTATCAAGAGAAAGAGTTTAGTTAACAACCCCCCTTCAAACAAAGCAATGGTTGTGATGATTTGCTTTTAGTTATTCTTTATCTGGAAATTTGCTTGCTTGTCGTTTTTAGCGGTTTTTGTTTTGATGTCAATTTTTGTTGAAGAAATTAATGGCGGTCTTGTTGTTTGTTTCCGACAATCATTAGTTTGTTGTTGTCGTTACATTTAGTTGGAAGTGTAGGTATTTTCTTTCATTCATTGTCGATGGCGGCATTGTTTAATACAATTTGTTGGAGGTCGTTCTCCCACCGTTTTCCCCATTCGATGATGAGTCTTGTTGTTGTTTTGCTATCTTTTTTGTTGTCGATGCTCTATGTTGCGTAAAAATACTTTTTTTGAACAATTAAAAGAGGGTTCAATCACAATTGTCGCTTATTTTCCTTAATGGGGCTCTGATATCAAGTCACTGCAACGGCATCACCGCTGTGATTCGCCTTTGATGTTTGCGGGAATGGAATTTTGAAGATGAGTAAAGCCTTAAAGTGCCGACTACTGGTACACTGTTTTTAATCCTGCAACAAAAGAAACCGAAAGATAATCGTTAATAAAGAAAGGATTAACATTCAATGCGAATGGCAGGCATTTACAATGAAAACCAAGAAACTTCTCGACAAGACGAAGATTACTGAAAATGTGAAATGAAAACTTTTATAAAGAAAGTAATGTCAAATTAAAAATTTTATAAATATATTTTTCATGCAACAAGAATCCAGCACTAGGCCCTCATTTTTATACACCCACCTTGGAAAGGAGGGTATATTAACTTTGTCATTTCGTTTGTAACATCCTTAAAAATTCGCCGTAGACCCCATAAAGTATATATGTTCATAATCAGCATAAAATTCGAAGTCGATTTAAGGGTGTCCGTCTGTTGAAATCACGATACAGCCCACATTATTCGACGTATTGTGTTTAGGATGGTTGGTATTGAAAATGAGATATATCGGACCACGTTCTGGTATAGTCCCCATATAACGGTACCTCCCGATATTCGGTATTTTGATGATTTATGCCACATTTTTTTCACGGATTTATCTGAAAATTGGTATTTGTTGATCATAACGGGCCCTATGTTCGTGTGGCGAGACATTGCATGTATAGGTCCCCGCTTTGGTATAGCCCCCATATAAGGGTACCTCCCAATATTCGGTATTTTGATGATTTTTGCCAAATTTTTGCACGGATTTGTCTGAAAATTGGTATTTGTTGGTCATAATGGGTTCTAGCTCCTTTGACGAAACATTGCATGTATAGGTCCACGATTTGGTATAGCCCCCGATATTCGACATTTTAATAGTTTTTGCCACATTTATCCGCGGACTTGTCTAGAAATTGGTATTTGTTGGTCTTAATGGTTTGTTGGTCTGCGTTCGAAACACTGTATGTATAGGTCCACGTTTTTGTATAGCCCATATAGCCGTATTTCCCCATATTCGGTTTTTTGTTGATTTTTGGCAAATTTTTGCATGAATATGTCTAAAAATTGGTATATGTGTGTCAAAATGGGCTCTAATGTTTCCTTTACCCTAAGGTGGAGGGTATTAAAAGTTTGGCTCGGCCGAACTTAATGTTTTTTACTTGTTTGTTCTAATATGAAATGAAAACGTACGACGTACGCCTATATCCGTATTACCCAAATGCTTCAGGTCCATATCTTAAAATCTACCAAATAATAACGCTTTAAAAATTTATACTTTATTAAATTCAACTCATTGTCAAATTTTCCAATTGGAAAGATACATATTTTTATAACCTACACATGGTGGTCAGGGTATTATGTCTTTGTGCATTTGTTTGTAACATGGAGAAGGAAGCGAGTTAGACCCATTGTTACTTTCTAGGATCTTCATAGAATTACTTTCTGAGTCGATTTATGCATGTCAGATCGCATTTATAATACGAGTGAGATACAATTTTCACATAATTTTTGTTTGGCCCGAGAACGAACCCTATTGAAATTGGTGATAATCGGTTCAAATTTGGATATAACTCCCATATACATCTTCAACCGATTTTGAGTTAATTGTGCACATCCGACCGAATTCGATCTAGATATGTGTTTCTCCCATATATATGTTTCCTCCGATTTGGGGCTTTGAGGTTCTCACATTCGTAATATGCACTCCACAAGAATCATATTTGGTACCAGACAGCAGATACAGCCCAGAAATACTTCTGCAAATTTTGTCAAGATCGGTTCAGATTTGTATATAGCTTCCCTATATATCTTCAACCGATTTCGGCCGAATTGTGCACAAAATGGCCAATAAAAGTTCGAATGACCTGAATTTTGGCACATTCGATCGAATTCCGTCTAGTAGCAAGTTCATCAAATTTGATGAAAATCGGTTCAGATATAGCTATAGCTCCCATATATACAGGGTGAGATGAAAAAACTGCAGCCAACTTCAGACTGCTGTCATTTCCAAGCCACTCGTCCGACAGCTGTTCAAATTTATTCCAGTGACAACTCATTATTCGTGATGGAATTCAAGCGTGATAGTGTGGTTTCTTTATATTTGGCTGGAAAACCACAAGTGGCTATCGTTAGAGCACTCCAGCATTTAAATGTGAATAAATCTTTTGTGTCTCGTATCATCGTACGTTACCGTGATACCGACTTGTGACTTTGTGTGAGCAGTATTTTATTCGTTGCGTTTATTATTTTATACCCTCCACCATAGTATGGAGGGTATATTAAGATTTTCATTCCGTTCGTAACACCTCGAAATATACATTTTATTCTTGATCAGCATAAATTTCTATGTCGATTTAGCGATGACCGTCCTTCTGTGGAAATCACCCTAGCTTCCGAACGATATGAGGTAGATTGATAACATTTTACTCAAATGTATATTATGTCATTATTCACCGGAATTGTTTTAAATTTGGTATTTGAAGTTCGTAATGGATACTACAGTCTGAGACAGAAAATTGTCTGTGCAGGTCCACGTCTTCGTATAGTCCCCATAAAACGCTACCTCCCGATATTCGGTATTTGGATGATTTTAGCTACACTATTCACCGATTTTTTTTAAGTTTCGCATTTGAACATTGTAGTGGCTTATGACAAAGTTACCTATGCAGGTCCATGTCGTCGTATAGACCGTAATATAACAGCTACATTCGGTATTTTTAAGATTTCAAGAGAATTTTTAACGGATTTTATTGTTTTTGAGAATTGCCAAATTCGTTCCAAATGGTGGAGGGTATTCAAAGTCCGGGCCGGCCGAACTTGCAGTTTTTTACTCCTTTTTTTATTTCATGGAAAAAATCATGCTGAGGGGATATATGTTAACCGATCGTTTTTTTTTTTTTTTTTTTTTTTTTTTGACTTAGAAGATTGTTTTTATTGATTGAAATTATTGCTTTTGAGTAAATTGTCAAAGTCCGGCCCGGCCGAACTTGCAGTTTTTTACTCCTTTTTTTATTTCATGGGAAAAATCATGCTGAGGGGATATATGTTAACCGATCGTTTTTTTTTTTTTTTTTTTTGACTTAGAAGATTGCTTTTTATTGATTGAAATTATTGCTTTTGAGTAAATTGAAACTCCTTTGCCATTTTGTTTTTTAACCCTACACCACAAGGTGGTCAGGGTATTATGTCTTTGTGCATTTGTTTGTAACAGGCAGAAACGAGGAAACGAGATAGATCCATAGTTCCTTTTGATGATCTGCATAGAATCACATTCTGAGTCGATTTATGCATGTCCGTCCCTCTGTCCATGTATTTTTGTAAACAAAGTACAGGTCGCATTTATTGCCCGATCCAGATGAAGTTTTGCACAGATCATTTGTTTGGCCCAAGGACGAACCCTATTGAAATTGGAAATAATCGGTCAAAATTTAGATATAGTTCCCATATATATCTTCGTCCGATTTGTCTTTTATTGCGCACCAAACGTGTAATATCAGCCCGAATTGTATGGAATTTTACATATACACCCAAATTAGGCCTGAAAATAAGTATGCCAAATTTGATCGAAATCGTTTCAGATATAGCTATAGCTTCCATATATATATTGTTCATCCGATTTGTTATTTTTGTCCACCGCCGCCGTAATATGCACTCCGTAACAACGATATTCAGGGAAATATATAAAATACAGCTCAGAAATATCTTTGCCAAATTTTATCAAGATCGGTTCAGATTTGGATATAGCTCCCATATATATCCTTATCCGATTTCAAATTAATTGTGCACCAAATGGGCATGATTGAATTCTCGCATAAATACTTTTAATTGTCATGTGGAGCTCTACTTAATTAGCAAAGTGGTGGAGGGTATTATAAAGTCGGCCCCGCCCGACTTTAAGACTTTGTTTACTGGTTTTTACTTGTTTTTTTTTTTTTTTTTTTTTTGAAATTGCCAAATTTGTACCAAATGGTGGAGGGTATTAAAAGTTCATCCCGGCCGAACATACATCTTTATACTCTACAACACTATGTGTTGGGGGTATTATAAGTTTGATTGGGCCAAAAATTATGTAACACCACGAAATATTGGTTTCTCACATAGGAAAGTATATATGGATCTTCCTATCTCGCCGAGCTGAGTCGATCTAGCTATGTATGTCCGTCCGTCCGTCTGTCCATGTTAATTTGTAATCACTCTACAGGTCGCAATTACGGTCCGATCTTCACGAAATTTAGAATGGAGGTGGGGCTAGGGTCAGAATAGAACCCTATTTCTTTTGGAGATGATCGCATAATATTTAGGGGTTGAAATGGACCAAAAACTGAAAAAATCCTGATTTTGCAGTTGCTCTACAGGTCGCAATTATAGACCAATCAAAGCGGAAGTTAGCATGGGGCTAGAGTTTATAGCGGGGAAGAAGCCTACCAATTTGAGTGGTCATCGGATAATATTTAGCGGGTAAAATAGACCATATCTTTTGTGTTGAAAAAATTCAAAATTTTTCATTAAACCGCGAATATTTTAAATCCCGGCGAAATCACAAAGCCATGACAAGGTTACTTCTGATCTTTACATTGATGTTAACATCCAACAAATCGGATATATAGCAAAATATATGCGATATATATGTCTATCAAAGAAGATATGCTTGAAAGAACGGTTGAACTGATTTCGACAGTTCTCATTAATTCAGAATGGCCTCTTGGCAGGAAAGAAAAAACGTTTAAAAAATCGCATAAAAATATCTCTCTAAAGATGAAAATATTGATTTTCTAAAATTTTCTTATATTTTTTCAATTTTGTCATATTTTTGGCATATTTTCATTTTGAATTAAACATTTGGTAATATTTCTACAGCTAACAAAACTAAGTAGTTAGGATATCAGGATATCATATACAGATCACATTTATGGACCGATTCTTACGAAATTTTGCATGGAGAGGGTCAGAATAGAAGCCTACTCTTTTTGGAGATGATCGCCATATATTTAGGGGTTGAAATGGACCAAAAAACTGCAAAATTGTCAGCAGGTCGTAATTATCGCCCGATCCTTACGCACATTTGAATGGGGGTTACCGGACATTGCAAAAGCC